TATAAAAGTAAAATGTTAAACAAATAACTCATTTATCAGGTCAACTTTTTAAAATGTCATGACATTTCTCCATAAAATAAGCAGGAACAAGCTGCTTGTAACTGTTTCAATAAAAAGTAAGCATGATACTCTCAGCCGCAGTGGACATTACCAGCAGGAGGTAATACCTTCAGAAATAGCTCAGAAGGATGGATCATTAAGTGAGCTGCTAATGCAAAGGCAAGAGCTTGTTTCAACTGTAAAAGATCAGGGTACATATTGGATGAACACCCCAGATACATGAGTGCACGTGCACATGCTCATGCTAATAATTTGATGCTTTAGTCAGAACTTTCCAAAAAAGTAAGGAATCCTTTTCACAATGCAATATCAGTGAAGGAAGAAATGGATTTAACCCTTCATTTTGTTAAGAGTAGCAATTTTGACATGCTCAAGCATCCTCAGGAGAAGAATCTCTTGCTCCCTGATCATCTTCATCCTCTTCATCATCTTCATCATAGTCAATTGATGCAGGCTGGCCATTGAGATCAACATTGGCACTGTTTAATTTTCTGACAAACTGTCCCCTCACTCGAGGCCGTCTTTCAGCAAGTCGTTTCCTGTTAACATACCTAATTTTCTTATCAAAGCAGCGCTCTTTCCTTTTCTGTCTGAACTTCATCAGTGCTGCTTCTCTCCTGTCAACTTTACTTAATTTTGCTTCTGATGAACTCGAGCTGCCAAATGATGGCCATGAATGGGGTTGAGGGACCTGACCAGGTTGTAAGCATATACTCATTGGGTAGTATGGGAAAGATGTCATCCCTGGTCCGTGAGGACCACCTTGGGGAAGATGACTGTATTGAGCAATCATAGCTGCACTAGGATGATTCTGTAGGTCCTGCATATTCTTCTGGTGATACATCTGTGCAGATGAAGGCATCATGACATGATTAACAACTCCTGAAATATAATATGGATAAGTATGTTGAGAAGACATGCCAGATACTTCATGCTCAGAACAATGAGTCCCATTTCTTGGATGCATCACACCGTGATGGAAATTTTCTTCTTTGTGCTTTTGCGGGGAAACTTCCATTGATGCAGGTGGAGTACAAGACCTTTCCATAGAGAGAGAATCAGGTATACTACTGCTGCTGGGTAAGTCATCTTGCGATTGACTTTCACAGGTCTCTCCATTTTCACGTGTTTGAAGGTCATTAACCCCTTGTTGAGCACATGCTTGATGCATAACTTCCATCCTCACATGAGCAGCACCATGGTTGTCAACGTTAACAACCCCTTCAAAGTTGCTCTTCAGTATAGATGCTTTGACATACGTGAAAAAGGCCGATGACTCCCCTATCCTTAGTTCACTCTTCTTCGGACCAGATGAAAAAGGTGCTACAAAATTACAACAAATCGGAGATAAAACGATAAACTGAAATGGGTATGTGCTACAAAAAATTTCAACCACAGGAGCTCAAATTCCAATTCAGATTAAACCATTAAGATATTAAAAAGTACGGAGCTATAAAAGGCAAGTAAAGAACAAGTGATTTCAAAACAAGTTCCTAAAATCATACTTAGAAGTAGTTGGTGCTACAATATATAACTTTATTTTTATAGAAAATAATCAATAAATAACTTATGGCTATTGAAAAAAGGTCAAACGACGAAAAGAAGCACACCTGTTCGATGATCATTAAATCCATCGACTTCAGGCCCGTGTTCTGATGCATGAGCATCTAGAGGTTTCTCAACAGCAACCGCAATTGCAATAGTAGACTGAAAAAGTAAATTATATGCATAAATGACCACATACTAGAACACTTGCGATTTGAAGTTATTAGTAGCTACATAATAATGTCTACTCATGGCTTAAACACCCTTCAATGTCTGACCGATAAAAGGTAATAGAGAAATGTTACATCTAAACCCATTTACACTTGCAGATAACTGATATCCCTTTTCTGCACTACAGGAGTAACTTTCGATCTGTGTGGAGAAGACACACAAATACTAATGTCAAGG